ATTATATATATATATATATATTATATATATATATATATATTTATAATATTATGCCTTATGGTGTATTGTAGTATGTGTATTATACTACGGTAAAGTCATTGACTTTGGTTACATGACTGTAGTAAGAGACAAAATAATTTGTTTGATTTTCTTTAGTCTTACTGACTTAGTGTACTTTTAAACGCCAACAATTACACGAACGCTCTGCATTTTTATAAGCACGAACGTTTGTAACAGAAACATAAGGTGTGTTCAGACAACTCAACAGTTGCACAACGGTTGAGAGATAATCACTTCTGATTGGATCATACTTCTGGATTTGCTGCAGATTTTGAAGAATAGTCCTATCATAAGTGATGATCTTTCAACCGTTGAGTTTTCTGAACGTAACCATACAGATACAGCCAATCACAAGCGCTGAAAAAATCCCTAGATGTATTTTGTGTCGCTATTGGTTGCATCCGTTGGCCAATGTGCGAGTCCGACAGTGTATACTGCGTTCAATTTGAGAAGAGAAACCGGATAAAGGAAATCTCGTTGGTTTTATGTACCTTTTGTACTAAAAAAGTCTCCTTACTCCACAACCGTTGTATGTCGGCACGTGTTCCATCAATTCCGCACGCAACGCTATTCTTACTTCGCCTGCTTTTCTTCTCTTATGCGCAGTAAAATTCTCTTATCAAATTGAATGCGGTATAGTAGACTGACGCAAACACGTCAGCGGTTTGAATCTTCGCTACAGTGGTTCTCTTTAAGTTCGACGATCGAGAATATAAATATCTGCATTATCTACGAACACGTGACAGACGATCGCAACAATTGCAATCGCAAAAAGGTATTGTCGGGACAGGGGACGCGTGCGTTTGTCTTCCCGATGTTTTCATCTCCTTGCAGAAGCACGAAGGGAAAACAACAACGCAACACTAGTTGTGAGGATGACGTGTTGTATGTTTAAAACTCGCAGAGCGGAGTTTGTTTGCGGAAAATTTTGCGATTTTCGCGAAGTCGCGCGACGTCGTCGTCGTTACGCCGCTTTTATTTGTCAGTGAAGCGAAAAATAGGCGGCGAGCGAACGGGCGCACCCAGGGGCATTATTACGCGCGTTCCCCGAACTTCCGGCAGCGCCGGTGCACTCACACGCGCGCGCACACGCACACGTGGCGCGCGGGCTCACTTCCGCGCGCTGATCCTCGCTCCGACGCGAACAAAGATCTTTTCAAACCCGTCCCGAATTGTAACATCGGCCGACCGCGCGCGATCGTTTCGAAATATACTCGCAACTCAATGCTCTTCGCGCGCGCTCTCTGTTTTCCCTCTTTCTCCCGCTCTCTTCCCCCTCGCGCGTTTTACCATCTTCGTGTACTCTCTCCCGCTCTCGCGCGATCTTCTCTCACCCCGATGCGTACGCAAGTGGAAATACGGGTTAATAATGCACGCGCGGCGGAAGGAAGGAAGGAAGAAAGAAAAATCACACAAAGCGTGAGAAACAAATCCGCGCGATCGATCGCCGCAGAATCCATCGTCGAAAGAAAAGATGCTCGAGAAATGCCCTTATCAAGTGCACATCTCGGTGATGCAAGTTGTGTGAGGAGGGGTTACATGTACGCTCTTCGTGCATTTCCTCTCGATGATGTCTTACAGTGCCGTCGTCGTAAAAATCAGGTGAGTGAGGAAACAACCGAAGCGAGGATGCGAAACTCGAGACGAGGCTCTCTCGAACGTTTGGCCTGAAAAAACCCAACAGAGTTGACGAGTGGCAATAAAATAGGAAATTTGATCGCGCGATAGAGAGAAACGACAGAGATTTATCGAAATTGCATTTCTCGCATCGCGCGCGTCTCACGAACTAGAACTCACGCTCATATATGCGTGTTAGAGCAGGTGGTATGAGCCAACTGCGTTTTGTTGGCAGTGTACCCGCGGTCAGAATTCAAGCAGAGGTCCGGGGCGCTTGCCATCTGGGCCTTTGCATACCGTGCAAGGGTCCATACGGTACGCATCGACGACGATGATGGGTACCAGTTTTGTATACGCTGCCCTTCGGAGATTTCTGACCGCGTAGAACCAGATAAGAAGACGAAAATTGCAACGTGGATGTGTGATACACGTTTTTATTCGCGACGAGAGATTAAGCGCCAGATTCCAATATGGCGAAAAAAAACAAACAAAAGAAAATCGCTATGTTGCCGTACGTCAGGTTCTTTGGGTTTTCACAAGTCACTTCCTGCACTCAATTCTAAAAATCTATAGCTCCGCGTGACGTATACGCACTATTGGAAACTATGTTTTGCCTGTTATACCAGGCCAGCAAGAAAAATCGGGCTGGATTTTCTACTGGGTTTTTCGTTTCACTAAAACTTTCCTAACGGAAAGTCGTTCTGTTGGCGCGGCAAGTGAACGAATTTAATCGAATTATATTTAATTAAAATTAACAAATTTAATAACAAAGTTTTCTTGCCGGCCTAAAGTAGCTTTATCTTCTCGCTGTTCTAACGGATTCAATTTTTTTTTTTCACAATGCACAGATCTCAGTACTGGCGATGAAGAATTTGAAATACGAGACTTCTGATTAACAATTGCCTATCTACGTTTTTTTTTTTATCATGTCTCAAGGATAAAAATAAAATCACTTGAACGAACGGAAGTGACAATCGCAGTTGGAAAAGTTATTTCTCGCAGAGGAGAGAACTAATGTTGCATTTGCAAATCAATTTGTTTATGGACGATACGCTGCAGAATTATACAAAATGAACGCACCAGCGAATGAAACTAATAAGAACTACTTTGCGTTTGTCAGTAACGGATTATCTTCACTAAACAGATCGATGATGCAAGTTGGCGGAACGCGTGGCATTCAAACAATATTTTTGCAACATCTTTCTATTTTTTTTAAAACAATTATATGATTAATCACGAATGTGATTTTCACGATAAGTATTTTCTTAACAAGATATTATTTGTGCAATTTCCAGTTTTGCTTAAATAAATTAACACAATTGTGCGCGTTTCTTTTTTCTGTATTTCTTTTCATTCGTTGTGAAAAAGTTTCACTTCTCGCTTAGGTATCTAACGTAGTTATCCTATTCTTTTTCTTTCCTTCTCTTCTTCCTCTTTCGTCTTTCTTTCTATTTGTGTGGTATTTGTGAGACCCTGAGACAGTTACGGTACTTTGCGAAGGTTTGACAGTACGAAGGTTGAGCACAAAGAAGAAATGTAAAAATGACAAAAATGACAAATGAAAAAAAAAAAAAAAAATAATATAAATGACAAAAACGCGCACTATCTATTGTTAAAAGCCTAATAACGAAAAAATGTTTTGAAATTCTCAAGTGTATTCTCGAGATTCTCGTCTGTGCATCGAGAATTATGAAACTTTTTTGAACCACTTTAACAACAG